GTAGGAGTTAAAAATCAGCAGGACCTGATGACTAATGATGTGGAGGAGGGTAAAAAGGAAAGAGAAGCATATCCATGGATGGTTGAAATGAACACCGTGTCCAATATTTTAGGATTATGTAATATCGAAAGGAATTGTCTGTCAGGAGCCCACATGCTAATGCACGAAGATCAAAACAATCTTCATCTGCAGCATCTTTGAAACAGGAGAATTACTTTGGAGTTTGTTATTTCTCCAGGGTAGAGACATAGACCTGCTCTAGGGAAGTAATTGTATCATCAACCAAATTCTAGGCGTAACTGAGAGAGGCTGAAATAAAATAGAAAACTCTTGCTGGGTCTGTCTCCACAGACTCCCGGTAAGCCTTTCCTACCAGAATTCTAATTTTGTTAAAATGGGGTTGCTTTCATGTAATTTTAGAGTGAGCTTTGAAAAATGGAGAGCAGCAAGAATAGCAGGTGAACACAGATGGGTTGGGGGACAGAGTGGATTGGGCAAATTTTTATAAAAATACAAGGTATCTTCTCTTAAAAAAACAAAAAAAAGAGCAAGAGAAGATTTTACTATTGTTACTGTAAGAGCCAAAGACCTGATCAAAGCATTTTTTTGTTGTTGTTGTTTGGGTACCAGGAATTGAACCCAGGGGTACTTAACCACCGAGCCACATCCCTAGCACTTTTTTATTTTTTTTATTTTGAGCCAGGGTCTCACAAAGATAGTTAGGACCTTGCTGAATCACTGAGGCTGGCCTCGAACTTGTCATCCTCCTGCCTTAACCTCCTAAGTTGCTGGAATTATAGGCATTTTTGCTTTTTTGATCCTCATCTATAAATAAAGAGCAGCAAGATTAAACAAAAAGTGATATGTTTTAACGAGGCAGGTGTGGTGGTGCACGCCTCAAAAAAAAAATCTTTCTTTTTAACACTGCACTGTGTTATATACGTGGCTACATCTTGCTGGGCAGATTGCTCAGCTTGCCTCTTGCTCTCACCATTCTGTAAGGTGAAAGGGTAAAAAGTAATATTTACAAACCTGGGAACAAATTATTCCCTGGAGAAATCTGGATTGATTTTTCTCACCTGTTCACTTTGGTTTCTGCTCGTTGTCACAGGGCGAGGCGTGAGAATCATGTCCTGAGTGGAATGCCTGACATGTGGCTCAGAGACCTGGCACTGAGTGTTCTCTGTCCTGACCATCCACTGTACATCTGTCTTTCTGGTAAACAGCTTCTAGGAGTTTCACTTCTGGGAACCCATAGGGAGCGCCCTGATTACAAGAAACACAACAAACACACTGAAGTGGACCTGAGATGCCCAGTGGGAGCCTGTCCTCATGCTGTGGCCCTTGTGCTGCAGAGGAGCAAATGCTTTAGAGCAGCAATGCTTTTGTGTTTCATTAAATAGCTAAAAACAATGACTCTGAAGAAGTAAAGCTGAACTGAAATTGAGCAGCAAGCTTTGCTCCTGGTCTAGGGTTAAAATGAGTTCTCGGCCTTGGAGAGGCCTTCAGCTGGTACTGCTCTGGGTCATATCTGAGGCACCTGTGAGCAAGGACCACGTGTTCGCTGCAGACTCCAAAGTGCCAGGAATGGCATCCAGAGAAGCAGCTTTAGAAGGTGATGAGTTTCATTCAAAATATTTTCTGTTCTTATTTTGATCCCTTCCCCGCAGCCTCAGGATGAAGGACTGAAGCCTCCAGGGCTGACAAGATGGCAGGAGTTTCCGGTGGGGAAACAGGGACGACTCTAAATTACTTGGCTGAGTCCCTTTGAAGGCTGCAGATACCTCTACCCTTGAGGAGGCTTTTCCATGGGGCTTGGGGAAAAGGGTAGCTTTTTAATTTAGGAGAGTAGAATAAGGAGAGAAGGAAGAAGGCACTCATTGTCTGCTACCATGTCCCTTTCCTTTCTGTGTGATGACACTCAATTAGTAAGCAGGTAACAAACAAAAGGAAAAATAGGACTTCACCCCTCCTCAAAAACACCCCAGCAGGAGCCAATCCCTTTTACTGAATACCCTGGCTATGGTATTATAGTTAACTGTAAAATACAAGAAGCTACGTTCTTATGATGATGGGTTTTCCCATCACCTGAAAAATCATGTACTGAGAGCGCCTCAGTGTACTAACCAGGGTAAAATCACCTTCTGAGTTTAGATCTGCATCAGCATCTCCCACAAGACTAGCAGCTCAGGTTACACCTTGTATGAAGAAAATAAAGAGTTAAAACATAAGTATAAATTAATAGCCACAAAAGGGAAAGGATGGTGTGTGTGTGTGTGTGTGTGTGTGTGTGTGTGTATGGGGGAGCTATTAAAACATTTTTGTGTGAAGCACAATCTTAGGAGGACCCCCAGAGGACTTGCAAACACTCAGTAGGATCAAATCAGATGAGTCTATAGACATTGTTATTTGTCAGATTAAATCACACTAAATTCAAGAAATGTAGATGATATGATGATTAAAATATTGCCCCCAGCTTCCCTCACATCCACTACAAATGCTTCTGCATGTGCCACTTTTTCAGATTTTGTTGTTAACTGTTAAAGAGTTTTGGGTGCTCAGCCTTTTTTCTGCTACAATGATAATAAGAGTTTTCTCTCCAGGAGTTCTGGGCAAAATTAATGAAAATTTTTATGGCCCAGGAAGAGAGAAAAACAAACATCCAAGCAAGGATCTGGGGTGCAGAGCAGAGGATTAGGAGAGTGAGCAAAATAACCGATTTGTGAATAAGAGCCACTCATATGCAAGAAGACCAAAGTTGTTAATGATCTTGTTACTGCTGACTTCTAAGGGCTTCACCACAACAGATCAGCAGCCCCAGGAAAGCCAGGGAGAGCAGAGGGTCTGAAGTGAACTTGTTACCCGGTGTCCCTGCTGGGCAAATAAGTCCCCCAGTAAGTGAATTCTCCACATAACTGAAAGCTATCCTGTAACTGGTAAAGCTTTTCTTTTACTATGTTTGTGAATTGTCTATCAAATGATTTTCCTGTCATCTTCAACAGAAATGACACACACACACACACACATCACATACTTAAGAAAGTAAACTTTCAATATGATCATAGTAAGATTCTGCAGATAAGAAAACCAAGAACCAGCAAGACCAGGGATGCATTGCCAAACACAGTTGGTTGCAGCTCTGGGGCTACTGAGGGGTACAGAGAACAGTTTTGAGCTTCCATTTACGTGCCTTGGAGTTGTTCTTTTTCTGATTCCCTCCTTGTCGGGCAGACAAAGGCAGACACTTAAACTCATGCTTTTAACTTCAGAAAAATTCTTCCCTCCCCCTCTCTCCCTTTGTAAAATAAAATGCAAACCAACTTGTGTGTTTTGTTCTCTTTGCCGCAAACTAGAAATAAGTTGAACAGAAGGAAAAACAGGGAACAATTGTGAGAGAAGCTGTGACGTTTCTTGTACAAAGGTGACAAAAGAAATGAGAATTGACAACTATTAAAAGTTTTTGTTTTTATTTTTTTGCTTATTTCTCATTTCTTGACTATGTGGTGGTCTTGGGTATCTATAGAGTCAAGAAATTAATTTATTTTCTTTCTTTCCTTTTTTACCCTTCCTCATCATCCCAAATCTTTTTTTTTTCTTTTTTTCTTTTTTTTAATACTGGGGATTGAACCTAGGCCCTGGCTTAAGTCAGGTAAGGGTTCTACCTCTGAGCTACCTCCCCAGCACTTTCAGTTTTTATTTTATTTCTTTTAAATTTTAAGACAGGGTTTTACTAAACTGCCCAGACTGGCCTCAAACTTACAATCTTCCTGCTACAGCCTTCCAAGTAGCTGATAAATATAGACGTGCACCACTACACCTGACCCAAACCTTCTTGACATTTAACATGGGAGTATGGTTTTGGGGTGTTTGTTTGTTTTGCTGTGCTGAGGATTAGATTTAGAGTCTCGTGCATGCTAGGCAAGGATTGTATCGCTGAGCTATGGCCCTAGCCCAAGAGCCCAAGTTCTAATGTCAGACTACTTGGTGTGAATCTCAGTTTTCCACCATTTGTTAACTGGGTGATTCTCTGTATTAGTCCAGTTTCTTATTGTTATAACAAAATACCCTGAGGCTTTGTACTTACAAAGAAAAGAGGATTATTTAGCTCAGTTTGGGAGGCTCAAAGTCCAAGGTCAGGGGGCCCCATCTGTTTGGCCTCTGGTGAGGGCCTCCTTGGCTATCTCACAACATGGCAGAGAAGCAGGAAGGAAACTGGCTGCGTGCAGAAGAGGCCAGTTGGATGAGGCGACTTCCCTGTACAACAATTCTCTTTCAGGGGAACAAACTCATTCTGAGAGACTGCTATTCGTCCCTTCTGAGGACGGTGTCCTATGACCTCATTATCTTGCATGAGGCCCCACCTCCTATACCCTGCCTTCTGGGGACCAAACCTTTAGCACATGAGCCTTTGGGGAACGCAGTCAAACCATAACCTAACCACATCTCACTGAGTTATTTAAATTCCTTGTTCAACAGTTTACACATCTGTTAAATAAGAAAATGAACACAATCCACCCAACAGGATTATAGTAGGAATTATTTATAGTGTTCCTTTGAAATACTAGCTATTAGTGTCATAAACCTTCATCTCATCTCACAAGTTATTATCTCAATTCAACAAAACTACAGTCTCTACATCGCTAGATACTGCACTTGGATCCAGAAGTCTTAATGGAGTGTGGCTGGTCTAACAGGTTCCTAAGTGCATCACAAGAAAGTGGCCTTGAGTGTTCAGTCCACGTCTGGCTGAATACCAGGAAGTTTGACAGTGCATTTGGTCCCACCTTTCAGTCTGTTCTGTGTAGGCTGACCTTGAATTCCAGGCCAGCCTGGGGTCACCATGGGCCAACCCTGGCACTTCAGCAGATCTGATGTGGTCCATCTAACCTATGCCATGCTGAGCGTGGTGCAGCCTGGTGCTTCAGAAGCAGCACTTCCCTGGGAGAGGCCTGCTGTTTCCTGAACTTCCCAGATCTACTCCTCTTTATCCAGAATACCTTTCTTTCCTCACTGCCTAGCAAACTCTCACTTGAACTTCCAGATTGTATTTAACTCTCCCAGGAGCACAGGGAAGGCAGTTCTGGTTTTTGTTTTTGTTTTGATCCCTGGGGATCAAACCCAGGGCCTCTATCCCTGAGCCACACCCCAGCCCTGGGAAGGCATTTTTGGATGCCCAAATGATGGACAGACCCTTTGTAGTGATTTCAGAATTAGTAAGTTGCACCTGGGAACAAGAGTGCATGCCTGTAATCCCAGTGGCTTGGGAGGCTAAGGCAGGAGGATTGTAGATTCAAAGTGAGCCTTAGCACATCTCAAAATAAAAAATAAAAAGGACTGGGATCCTAATTAGAATAAGTTATATCAATGTATGTATGATATGTCAAAATATACTCATTGTGCTGTATACCTAAGAAGAAAAAAAAAAAAAGACTCGGGATGTAGCTCAGTGATAGAGTGCCCCTGGGTTCAATCCTCCCAACTGAAAAAAAAGAATTAAACCACTTGCTCAGGTTTTTTGGTCAATGTTAAGAATCAGATGAAATCTGGGCTCCTAGAGATTTTGTTCTCAACTGAAAATGGGCTAGATGTGAATTCTTTCATCACTGAGGTGCCAAGTAGCAGTTACCATCCATTTTTGGAGGCTATTCCAAAGGAGTCTTATAATTTTCGTTTGAGTATTATGGGGCAAGCAGACATAACATGTAGAACTGGTGAACATATGGACAGGCAGCAGAGAATTATCATTTTTCATGAGCTCTGAAGTTACTGCAACTTATTTGTTATCATGATAGAACTCTAATGGACTGTAAGGCTCAACTGTAGCCTCCACAATGATCTTTTAAAACCCTGGCAGATAATCTTTACATAGCATGAATTGTGCATTTTTGCACTTTTCATATGATCAAAACAACAGGATAGAGCATAAGAAGATTTTATAAATATAGACAAATAAATATGCACTTATTTCAAAACCTGCATTTATAAGCTACTTAGTTCACTTTCTTCCTTATCAGTCCATTATAGCAGTCAGGTTATTTTTTTCCTTATAATTGATGATATACAGTTGTAATGCAATAATTCTGCATCCAGGACAAAATGGGACAAATTTACTGGGGAATCAAATGGATCAAATTATGCATAATAAAATCTCACTATTATGTATAATTATAATGCACCAATTTTTTTAAAAAAGATGGGCCAGCTTACTCATGTTCATCTATTGAGTCATTTAAATATCAAAAGATGACACATATTACCAAGACAAACATAAAGGCCTTTAAACCCTGTCTTGGAGCAGGAAAACACTCAAAACTGTGATGACAAAAATTTTAACTCATCTATCTCAATTTCTCATTATTATTCCAATTAGTTTTATGGTCACTGTATTTATGGAAGTTTCTCACTGCTGCTGTTAACTCAAGTCACTGTTGAGTACACAGGCTCACATGTTTATCTTTTTCCTTATAAAAATGTTAAACCAGCTGCCATAAATACAACTTCTTTGTTTTAAAGAGGCTAAACTAAAACAAAAGTCCTTACCTGGTGTAGGGCAGGTATACTGTAAACTCGAAGTACTTTCTTACACAGATTGTTTTTAACTTAAATTTTGAAAGAATTTTAATTCACAGAAATGTGGTAAAAATAGTACATCGAGGGAAGCCTATCGAGCATAAACATGATGCAAATATCAAAAACTAAGAAATTAACACTGGAATAAGCTTATTAACTGAACGATAGGATTTGTTAGGATTTTACCAGTTTCTCCACTAATGTCCTGTCTTGGTCTCGGAATCTAATCTGTGACACTATGTTACATAAAAATGTTTAAATTCACTAACCTGTAGGAATCATGGTTTCATTCACAGGCAAGTAAGCATCAGCTTCTATGGTGACTTCATGGTCATATATATTTGGAGACCCCTGGGAGGGAAAAGGAAAAAGGAAAAAAAAGACTTACTGTTTAGTCTTTTACGTATTTACCAAGACAAACATAAAAGCCATATTTGCTTTGTAACATTTCTTGTAAAATTGACAAAAACTTTAGAAATCCAATTGACCAATGATACTGACTAAACAGGATCATCTAGTGTAGGTGCACTGGGGCCTCCAAACAACCACGGACACACGTGAGAGAAGCTTTCAACGTGTGACCCCAGCATGCATTTTCTTTTCTAAGTGGAACGTAAAGGTGAGAAGTCAGGGAGACCACAGTGGCTAGGAAGCCTTTTGGTTCCCGCTTTTTAATGGAGGGGTTTCTGCTACTCTGTCAGACAGCAGGCACAGGGAGGAGAAAGGATCACTCACCCAGAAAGCAAGTCCTGGGTGGTCAAGGCACTGCCTCCAGGCCTACTAGAGGGGTCACCTGTCACCCCTCTCCCAGCTCCCATCTAGAGGCTCCACTCCCTGCCACAT